TACAAGAATTTGCCACGCACCTTTCCACACTGTATAACTCCACCACACCCTTTGACCCTAACGCAGCCTTCAACATGCTGTCTACGGTACATATGCCAACTATGCCTGAAGTGGCCCGCCTATCTCTCGACGCCCCCATAACCGAGTCGGAAGTAAAGGCAGCGATTAAAACGCTTAAACTTAACAAAAGACCGGGCCCTGATGGCTTCACGGCCTCTTATTATAAAAAGTTTGCTGAACCTTTAGCCCCCCTGTTCCGCTATGGGTGTCGATTGAAGCATTAGACTGTGACCCATTCACCATAGATAACTTACTATGGTTGACACCCAAGGATAGGTCCACTATTACTAGCGCCATCACCCGTCACTCCCTCCGTGTATGGGACAACTCCAAATACTCTAGCGGTTCTATCGGCGCGCCTAATGGACCGTATCCAAAAATTTGAAACAACATGGGAACCTTGGATTAAACATTTCCTTCTACCCTCCTTTGACACCCGCTTGATGACTATCTGAGAGGACACAGAGTATCGTCACCCCTTGCTGACCAGATGACAGATTGCGGGCAGGTACTTGCGTCACGACTCTACCCACCCCACCCCCCATACTTCCCCTCTTTTCATTGGTTTTTGTTTTCTTGAACCTGTTATTATGTACTTACAAAGATCCACGCAATCTGGACCCACACAGATAGGGCCCTTCTGTGCCCTGGATACAGTTTAAGCATTTAACGCGATGGAGCATGTTTAGAACACATACGCCTCTTTTTCTTTTCTTTTTCACTTTAGCATATACATATGTTAATGTTTTTGAACTAATGTGCGCATGCACTCTACGTTGGAGTGTATGTACTAGCTGTATTTCTATACTTGGAAAAAATTAATAAAAATCTTATGAAACTAAAAAACAAAGCTCATCCTTAGTCTAGACTACATTACAGCTCCTCTCCCAATGTAAACTAATGAAATAGGTTAATACAGCTTACTTCAAGACTAAAACTGGCCATAAAACAATAACATATCAACTCTGGTGGGACTCAAACCCACAACCTTTGAATTACTCTAAGCTCTAGAACGCCAATGCGCTATCCTTTGCGCCACAGAGCCTCTTCCTTGGTCTCAGCCATGACCAATGACTATGCTGTATCTCCTGACCTTTCAACAGCTACAGCCAAAGCTGAACGTTGGTCAGTTAGCAAAAAATCATGTATGGGTTAACCACCATGTGGGACATAAGGCCAGTTCCCAATTCCTATGATTCCGCTGTCATTGGACAGCGCAGAACATATACAAAAGTAGAATTCCACTTGACCATCTTCCTTGCTATAACCGACTCGTCTGATGGTGATTGTAACCAAGTCGTAAGCTAGCCTACAATGTTTAATTGTGTGGTGCAGAATGAAGCCCTCAACTACGGAAAAAGATTAATTGAGCTTACTGAAAGAATAATGCTGGCCATACACCGGTAGAGTATCGCTCCAAAAGGGGGGTACACAAGAATATGTAACCCACCACACTGAAATCCACATTAGACAGCGCAGTTCATATGCAAAAGTAGAATTCCACTTAACCATCTTTATTGCTATAACCAACTAGTCTGATGGTGATAGTAACCAAGTCGTAAGCTAGCCTACAATGTTTAATTGTGTGGTGCAGAATGAAGCCCTCAACTATGGAAAAAGATGAATTCAGCTTAATGAAAGATCATAAACCAGTAGAGTTTCGCTCCAAAAGGGGGGTACTCAAGAATATGTATCCCACCACACTGAAATCCACAGTAATGCAGTATGTTATAGCACTGTAGAGCAGCTAACGCTCTACACAGACTGTTAGTTCTTCCTAAACTACTTCAACAAACACTGACTAATGGCTGCTTTTATAGTGAGGGGGGCGGCACATAACAATGGCCTCCTTTTTGGCCCTTCTGAACCAGCTTACCTAAGTTCAAAGGCCAGGCAATGCATTAAAATTACAAAAAACGTGGACTGCTGAATTCTTTGGGACCATAAACTTTGAACACACAAGATTGGACTCAAATCCAACTTTGAACATGCAGGATTTGCCCCCAACCCATAGTGGCCATTAAACCGAAGCTCATCCTTAGTCTAAACTCACAATGTAAAATAAGGAAATAGGTTAATACAAAACTAAAGCTGGCCATAAACTATTAGGATCTCGACTCTGATGGGACTCAAACCCACAACCTTTGAATGACTACATGCTCTAGAACCTTGGTTCTCAACTGGTGGGTGGTGACCCAA